TGCGGTGCTTTAACCCACTGCACCACCAGGGCGAGCTGTCCTCTCCCTCTTTTTTAATGAAAAATAAAATTAATATTTCGCAAGAAAAGAACAACAACAACAAAAACCCAAAAACCAAATATGCAAAAATATCGATTTAATAGCTCCTATTAAAAAAAGGTTTAAAAGTGTTCCTTAATTATCTAAGACTGCCAATCTGTGCTCTGATATATCGAACAACTGTGTAACAAAACTGCAACACAACGCTAAATTAGAGAATTGCTTCTAGTGTGAATCGTTTTCTAATGTGAAATATTTAAGCAATTATGGCTGTGCAACTGTTTATGAAAACACAAATTCAGAATAATGTTTGCTCTATGCCCATTCCCAAAGCCAGTATGGGGAAAACATGTATTTTCAGTGACCCCTAACCCAGAGAAATGCTTCCTTTGGGCTTATTTTGTCTGTAGCAAAACATATTTAGGATTAACACAAATCACTAGCCCCAATATGTCTGAAATGCTACCTTTTCATTATGCTTCTTGAACACCAATCAATTTAGAAGTATGCCACAGTATGCTAGAGAATAAAACCAGAAAATAATCCATCATATGACTTTTGTTACATGTGGAAAAAATAAAGCCCATTCCTGAAAATAACTGCTATCACAAATCTGGATATTTATGCTTTAGTGGGGAAAAAAAATGCACTGAGAATCGTTTTAATAAAGGCCTCCCCTGAATTTCCCTGAGAACGTCAGTGCATAGAAAAATGGAAGAGAGGGGAGGATAACCAAGTTTGCCACTACCACAGTCACTAGTACAATGATAAAGTAAAAACTTCTTCCGGAGGCATTTATAATTGAACAGTTTTTATTCTTTGCTGCACCCAAACCAAGCCAAACTTTTCCATGTAAGACTACTGCTTCCCACTCCTTTACCATCATCTTCCAAACAAGGTTTAACTTCTACCTAACTACCAGCATTATTCAAGTTCCTGTGCAGTGAACATCCTAACAGTGTTACGTTCCATGCTGCACTTCCCTGAGGAGGGAAGTCTTCACTCGCTTTAAAATCTAGTAATACTGGGTAACCAAAGAGGAAAAGGTATTTACTATCTTCGAGCAATAGAGGTGTTCTTAAAAATCATCACTGCCTGATACAATTGGCACCCTAACCACTAGCCTTCCCCTCTGGCTTTACTAGACACTCCGAGAACTCAGGTGCCCAGTGGGACAAGTGTGCTCAGCAGCAGAGTATCTGCGCTGAGATTCTGCAGTTTTCCTCCTCAGGTCCAACACTTACAGTACCTTTCTGTACCGTTAACACAAAATGAGGTATTTGCTCTACCACATATAATAGTTAATTAACGGATCCTCTGAGAAAGTAACAATCTGCAAAGCTGCCTTTTTTAGTCACTTCATTTGCAATAAAGTTTCAAAAACACCTTTTTAGAAGAAACTTGGAATATAGGAGTTAAGAGCCCATCTTTGCCTTATCCATATTTCCCGGGATATTGCTACGCAAACAGTACTAATGTTTGAATTAAAATGCTTAAAACTAAAACTTACAATAGTAAAAACATGGTCACCTTACAACGGAGTGTTAAGCTCACAAAAATCAAGTGGCCCCGGTCTGTTGCAAGTCAACAAAATTGTTACTTCAACACATGTAACATAAATGGTTCTGCACTGACTTAAATGAAAGAGGTTCTCAGAGATTACTCCTAGGCTTGTCTGTTTTTTCACTTTGCGTTGCTAATTAAAAGTTAAATCTCAAAAATTAGAATATTTATTTTCAGAGGGTTTTTAAGCCTGCAGATAGGAAGCTAGCCAGGCTTTCATCTATTCCATGAAACAGCAACAAAACTAGCACTTTAAAAAATACCCAGCTGCTTTTGTTACCCTAGCTAATCCAATACTTAAAGTTTGGGTTCAGAGTAAGAGACCCACTTTCCAAATCTGATCTGTTCTGCTATACATGCAGTCTGTAACTTAACACCTCACTACAACAATCACACAAACTTTTCAAGACACTGTTTAGTGTTTCCACTACTGTCCACTGGCCTACTTGTTGAATATTATGCAAGAGACCCAGGGTTTACTGAAGCTGTGAAGAACTTGAGTTTTATGCACAACTGCCCTAAAAGTGTTCAACATTCAAGTTGTAATCCTGAGTAACATTTATTATGAAATCACCCAAACCACAGAAAAATTCTACAAATGCTATTTTTAAAAATACATATATACTTGCTGAATCCATGCATCACAAGTAATCTAATGAGTGTAGTTTATCACTAAATGTGTCGTCTTGTTACCTCAACTGTAAACATCAGAATCACAGTTATGTCACTAAACAGTTGCTGGGCTTGGTCAACTTCAAAGCACAGAATATAAAATTTGCATGAAAGTGCAAGTTCTATACGCAAACTTAATTTTTAGTGTTTTTTTTTTTTAAGAGAAGCTATTGCTTCAATATTAGGTGTTGGACACGTCCTGCAAGTGTCTGAAACACATTCTGCAACTACTATACTCTTTAAGAATTAAAAGGAAATTACTTCTACTTTATCCATTTACTACAAATCATACGTGGGCAGTGTTAAGCAATAAAACGGTTTCTATCCAATTAAAAAGTTACAAACATGTAATCTACAAGGTTACTCTCGGTGCAACAATCCGCCCCCCTAAAAACGTCTCTGGGTCATTCCGAGCTCACATCGTCCACGTGGGCTCATCGCTTCGGACAGCCCAGCACAGACCCCAGGGCGCCCGGGAGGCGGAACCCGCCGTCAGCCGCACCCCCGGGGCGGGGCCAGCGCGCCAGTCACGTGGCTGTGCGCAGCCGCCATCTTGCCAGGCGGGGGAGGGGCGGGCCCCCACCGGACAGACCCCTGCGAGTTCTGGGGCGCACGTGATTGCGGGCTCTCGGGCCAGAGGCGAGGGGCACGCCGAGGCTCCGGCACCTCCCTCTAGGCCAGGAGGGGGCCGCCCTCCCCAGGAGCCGAAGGCGGAGGAGCAGCAGGGTCAGACTGCAGAGAATCGGTAGGCAATCTGTCCACCTCCATCCGCCAAGGATGGAGTGACAGGCTAGGCGCGACAAGAGCCGCGGAACTGTCTTCAAGGCCAGAATGTGCCACCACTGGGGAACTCGGAGGCCATGCTAACAAGTGGAAAATGCGAGGTCGTAACAATTTAATGAGACGTAAATGATGTTAGAATCCTTAACTAGCAAAAAAGTTCACACTACCAGTGTCTAAAAAATAGCCTTCCACATTACTGCATTACCAGTGTCCCTATGATTTACTCCCCCACTACAACCTACGGCCACAGCACAGCACACTGCCTAGAAGTAATAATGTGCTGGAATGAAATGGCAGGGTGCCAGCCTCACTTTGTCCACTCCTCCCTGCACTCACTGGTTGCCAGAAAAGGCCACACTGCAGTGTAGTAAAAACTCATTACTCTGGTTTGCTTGCAACCCCCCACCCCTCAGAAGCCTTCCAAAACTCCCATTATAAGCTATATTTTAAAAGGAGGGGAGGGGAATCAGAAGAAATGACTCCTAACAATTAAAATCTTAAACTGGTTATCCTTGCTGGAACGATATGAATGATATAAACTCCCATTATACCACCTTTCATTATACCCATAATCTAAGATAAGCGTTACTTAATGTATGAACCACATAGGTATTGCTCCTGAGTTCAGGTTTTCTCCTATATTTAATGGTGGTAGCATGTAAGGCTTTTTGGACATGTGAAGCCTAATTTTTGAAAAAGATTTGGCCTACAGTATCCATAGGTTCCTTCCAATACCCTAGAAGTGTACTGATTTCCCTTGATTCTAAGGGTAGTGAATCCAGAAGGAAAAATACATTACAAAGATACAAAGCCCAATTTTGGCTCCAGAGTACCTACAACAGATATTAAAGGTAGATTACGCAAGGGAGTGGGGGGTATCCTCCTTTGACCCTATCATCCTGGAGACAACCTAAGTTGGAAAGAAAGCAGGACACCCAAGTCCATTTCTTTTAAATAACTGTGATCCACGAAAATAGCCTTGTTGTACCTAGTTTTTACTCTGGACCCTACAATCTCTTCCATTAAATTATCACACCCAATCACTTATCTCTGGGTTTAAGTTACTAATAGGCAGTTTTCATGACTAGCAAAATTTTGTCTTTAATGTTTGTGACAAGGGGGTCACCTGATTCTCAACCACTCCGTTTTAGAGTTCAATAGCTTTAAAAAAAAAAAGTATCCTTACAGCAGAAGCCCAACAAACCCCCCAATGACTCCGACCAGTGGGGCTGAGGGGGCAAGGCTGTGCCTGAAGTACACCCACCAGCAGGCCCCAGGAAAGCGGTCCTGCCAGACCACCTGCACCTCTAGCATCCAGCGTGAATAGAGTCGCTGGGTTCCACTTTAGATTTCTTCTGGAAGCACCAAGATCTCTGGGTAGGAGCCCAAAGACCCCCAGGACCGTTTTACTCCGGCAGACCTTGATCCCAAATTCTCCCTTGGTACCACAGAGCAGGGTGGCATGCAGGAGCGCACCTTGAGGGCACCTCACCCAGGGGCAAGGCGGGGCTTTAAAACGCGTAGCCCCAGCGGCAAGAAAAGGCAGCACTGGCCGGGCTACACTGCGGCTGACGCGCCGACTCCCCGCGCTTCGCCCTTCCCAGCAGCGGGAGGCCGAGGGATGTTCCAGCCCACAGTGTCCACGGAGGGCCCGACGGGGAGCTCCACGTTTTCCGTGGCAAGTCGGGCAGAGACTTCTAGAGCATTCCGTGATGGCGGGTGCCGGGGGGGGGGGGAGCGCGGGCAATCGGATGGTGACGGTGGGGTAGGGGCACAGAGCGGCGCAGCCAGAGCCCACTGCTCCCTGCCGCGCGCCGCGGGGTGGGGATTCCGGCCACCTGCACCCGGAGAGGCGCGGCCCGGACGCGTCGCTGAGGTGAGCCCGGTGGGGGGGGGGGGCGCCAGGCCGGTGACCGCGCCACGGGGAGGTTCGCGCGCCTTACCCGGGCCCCGGAGAAGTTGCAGGGCTCCACCTCCGTGTCCTTGGGGCCCCCGCGGAGCGCGGTGCGGAGCCTCTCCAGATGCTCCCTCAGGGTGACCCGCTGGTGGAAGGAGAAAGCCGGGTGCAGCGAAGCCATGGTGAAAAGCAGCAGCAATTCCTCCTGGGCCCTGAAGCCCAGCCCGCCGCCGGCCGGGGGCTCGGCGCCGCGGCCGCCTTCCGGGCCAGAGCCCTCCTCCCCCTCGGCGTCCTCATCGCCGTCCTCGCCGAGCCCGGCGGGCAAGTCCTCCGCGCCGCCCCGCGAGCCCTCGCCCCGGGCCGCGCGCAGGCTCTTGAGCACCGAGTCCACCTGGGGCAGGAGGCGGTGCAGGCGGCCGGCGGCCTCGCGGTTCTCCGAGCCCAGCAGCGCCAGGTAGACGATGAGGCGCGAGCGCACGGCGGGCTCTCGGAAGTCGGCCAGCGGCCCCGGGTCCGAGAGGCCGTTGGCCTTGGCCTCCGAGTCGCGCAGGTAGTGGTAGTCCTTGCGCGCCAGGTCCTCCAGGCACGAGCCGAGGAAGCGCAGCTCCAGCGGGTTGCACAGGTCCAGGAGCCCGCACATGAACTCCAGGCGCTGCGCCGAGCCCAGCACCAGCCCGAACCACTCGTACACC